CCGCTCCACCCCCAGATCGCACACCGCACACACCACTTCTGCCAGCCCAGCCCAGCCCAGCCCAGCCCAGCCCAGCCCAGCCCAGCCCCGACACCATGCCCTGTCACCCCCAGTCCCCTCCCTGGGTCCTGGCCCTTTTCCCCCAGCACTGGCAGAGCCACTCACACCTGCAGGCACTGGTGCCACAGGCATCTCTGTATCCGTCTGTGCTGTATACATTTACATACCTATATGTATGTGTATATATATATATGCACAGATATATATCCATTCATACAGTAGGCATTTATGATTTGCATCAATATCTGCATTCGTGCTGTATGCATCAGTGCCACCTGCATTTACAGATATGCACTGACATGTGCATTTATGCTGTGGGCATCCATAGACGTGCATTTGTATAAGTGTTTGTATGCTATATATCCATTTATGCCTATGCATTGAGATGAGCGTCTGTGCTATACGCATTTATGGATATGCACAGTTTTCCCCCATGGATGTACACGTGGGGTGGGTGCCTGTGGGGAGGTGGGTGGCTGCATGGAGGCTCTGAGCCCTGTGCACCCCCTCGGTCCCTGCACCCTGCCGGGTTGGGGGTCCTTCTAGCTGTCCCACTCCCTTCTCAGGCCCCAAAACTGCATGGGGTCCAGGACCCAAACCCAAGCCCAGACCATATCCAGCCCTCCCAGACCCAAACCCATATCTATACCCGACCTTCCCAATCTCCTTTCTAACCCTCCCAGACCCAACCTCAGCCCTCCCAAACCCAAATCCACACCCAGCCCCGAATCCCTATCCCCGCCGCCCCCCAAACCCCGGTTAAGGGCAGTGCCAGGGCTGTCAGTGGGGGTTCTGGGGGTCCCCGTGCCCCCCTCCCCCCAGTGCCGTGTGGGGAAGCTCTGCTGTGGGTCCCTAAATCCGGCTTTTTTCAGCAACTCTCCCCCGTCTCCTTGGAAACTGGCAGTGCTCCCCAGCCCCCGGGCTCCTCCTGGAAACGCAATCGCCCCCAAACTCACCCCTGTTTTGGGGGTCCCCGGGCTGGCTCAGCCTGGGGCAGGAGCAGAGTGGTCCCAGGCGAGGGCTGGTTCCTGGGGAGGGACTGGGCAGTGTGGGCTGGTGCTGGCAAGGAGCGGGCAGGGAGCGGGCAGGGAAAGGGCAGGGGTCAACATGGAGAATGGGGCAAGGAGCAGGCAGAGCAGGGAGCGGGCAGGGAGTGGGCAGGAAGTGGGTAAGGGACAGGCAGGGTGTGGAGAGGGGACAACACGGATGATGGAGCAGGGTGCAGGCAGAGGAGGTGGAGCCGGCATTTGAGGCAGCTCGACTGTGGTCGGGGTCCAGACTTCCCTCTTGGTTTTCTGCTTTTTCAGTTTTGGGGTTTTTTTCCCCATCTGGTGGGAGATGTCACCCTGCAGAACAGGGATAGGATTTGCCTACATGTATATTTTTGGGGAGCTTAGGGAACATCTCAAATCAAACACTCTTCTGATCAGCTCTTTGCCCCTAAATCTGGCTTTCCAACACTAAACCGACACGGTTCCCCCAGCTTTTTCCCAGATGTTACTGGATCCAGAATTGCCTCCTGCAGCCTGAGTTCAGAGGAAACAAATTCAGCTGGAAGAGCAATCTAAAACATTAAAAATGAAAAAGGAGTTAAAACGCTCTTTATATAATATTTTGAGTTTGCCAGCTCACCTTGGGTTTTTGCCCTTTGCCCACGCAAGTGCCCATTTAAGTTAAAACCAGAAACAAACAGGTAGAGAAAATGTGGGAAGTGCAAAAAGCCAGGTACAATTCAGAGAAATTCCTGCCATGAACTGGCTTTTTCTGATAAAACTGAGCCGTAGCCAGAGAAGCTCATCCCAAATGGAAGGGAAAATACTCAGGAAAGACAAGTAAGAGATAAGATGGGAAAAGCAAAATGGGAAAAGAGGTTTTAAAGAGGCTTAAAAAAAAATTATCAAAAGCCCAGGAAACAAAGAGCTTCTCCAGGCAGGTGTGATGCTGCACCCCAGTTCAACAAGGACTTGTTTTTTCTGATTGCGTTTTGCTTGAGCAGTTTTTTTGGGGGGTTAAACTTTGTTGGTTTGAACCAAATCAGGGAAGAAATTAAACTTTCCACAGAACTTCCTGGGAGCCGCCGGCAGCGGGGACCCGGCTGAGCCTTCCCTGTCAACCCCAGCCTCCGCGCTGCCTTGTGCTCCCCAAACCCTCCCTGCACGTATCCTCCTGCTAAAGAAAAAATAAATAAATGAGAAAATCACCGACTGACGAGCACGAACACGAAGCAGCATAAAAACTCGCCTTCGTTCCGAGCCAGCTGATGTATTTATTTTAAAGGCTGATCTTTGCTGGTGGTGGTGGGGGACATCAGTGCCACCGTGGGAAGGAGAAGGTTTTCCGGTGCCCGCGGAGGGGGACAGCCTGTTTGGGATCCAGGGATGTGCAGCCGAGGGATGGCCAGCGAGACCCCACTCCTCGGGACCGCAGCGGGGTGCGGGTGGCCACACGCCTGCGGCCCCGGGTGACTTGCCGGCGGGGGGGCCCCCACGGGGGACAGCTGGTGACAGAGAGCAGGGTGGCAGCGGGAGCATTTTTCCTGCCTCTCTCTCTTTCCAGAAGTCCGTGTTTTTGCTGCGTTAAACCCAAACCGGGTTCAGGGCTCCAACGACACACGCGGGAAGGAGAGCGGGAGCGAGAGGGAGAAGGACAGAGAAAGAGCCACCAAGCGCAGGGATGCGTGGGAAGAGCCTGATCCTGCATCACGGGGTGCAGTGGCTTCAGCGCGTGGAATCGTAGCTTAAAAACCTGGTCCCCCTCTTTCCCCAGCACCTCCGCTCAGATGACCCTGCCCGATCGCTCCCAGGTCCCCCCTTCTCCTCCTCGGCTCAGCCTGGAAAGTTCAGGGCTCTCCCCAAAGGCAGCCGGGGACCGGGACCTCCAGGGAGGGCACAGAGCAAACTCATCCCTCCCCTCCCCACGAGCAGATTTGGGAAAGCTGAGATGGCGGGGGGAAGGTCACCTTATCCCAGGTCTGCTTGTAACAAATGCGTTCTTTTGCTTAAAAAAAAAAAAAAAAAAAAA